CTTGGTGCCTTAGTGGCTTTATTGCCTTGCTTGGGGTAAAATTATTTAAAAAAAAAATTCCACATTAATTTATGAAAGGAATATCAGTCTGTGTATAAACATTTGTCTTTCTCTTTTTACACAACACAGAAAAGCCAGTTTTTTAACAAGATCAATGATGATGAAAAAATGGATTTTTTTTAAAAAATGAGAATCCAAAATGAAGAAAATCAGGACAATCTTCAAGAGAGTCTTCTCTATGTTAACCTAAATGGAATTCACTGAGGAGAAAAGTTGATTTCTGTTCTTTTAATTTAAAAGAAATTCTTTTATTATGAATTATTGAAACCTGAATAAACTGTTACTACAGAACAGTTCATTGACCTTTTTTTTTTGAGGCAAAGTCATTGACCACTGATGTTTCTGCATAACAATAACCATCCTCAAGTTGAAAATATGCAGAACAGTTATCGAGTGAGGAGGGAGAAGTTCTTCTGCATTCGATGTATTCTCCAGACTTTTAAATTATCATTTCCTTTCATATAAATTGATTTATTCAAACATATATTTTTACCTGTGTTATAGGTATTATTATAGATACAATGTTTTAGCCAAGTACCCTCTGGCCATCTTCAGGTGTCTATTTGGCTATATATGGAATATCTTATGTATTGATTATGTTACTTTTGTCTGGGATGCCATTTCTTGTTCATTTCTCCTAACAAGCATAATGAACTCACAACAAGGCATTAATTCAATACCATGGTTTAGAAGGAGCAAAAAAGCATTTCATCCCACATCTGAAACAAATCAATTAATAGAAAATAGTGATCCTGTTTCTTCTCCCAAGGCCAATTCTTCAGAAGAAAGGTGATGACATAGGTATTCATAGTTGGAATCTTAAACAAAAAAAAAAAAGTCAATATCCTCTACCAAGTATTCCAAGAAATAGAATTCATGATAAACCTTTCCAAAACAGAAACTAAACTGGAATTATTATTCCAGTTATAACAAATTTAGTATAGGAGATAAGGAAATTGAACATAGAATAGGTTGCAGTTGAGGTAGTCTCACACAATACCACAAATTGCTACAAAATCAAAACATTAAACTAAAGACTTGTCATGTTCTTAAGTAAATTTATCAAAATTTTCATATGGATATCATGCATGGTGCATAAAGAAACAGCTAATATTACCATTACCATATATAGCCAAAACAATGGACACCTGAAGATGGCCAGAGGGTACTTGGCTGAAAAGTTATATCTTTAACAATCAAAGAAGAATACAACAGTTCAAATAAGTATATTGATAAACCCTCAACTCAAAAATCAAAAAAAATTTCCTTTCATGCCATTTTACGTTTTCCAACATCAAGATATTGAAAAATTATGTGAATAATTAAAATAAGAACCAGAATCATTATTCTGATAGAATAAATCTTTTATATACCTTTATACGATCATAGTTCTCCACAACTTTCATGTCCCTTGTATATTTGAGCAACATTTAACTTTTTACCATCCCTTTTTTTTTCTGCTCTGCTATCCATCCAAACGTGTTGGGAAGATTATTTAATATTTTTGTCCCTCCTGACTTCCACATGACCCGTGAGGTTTAAATTCTCAGAGAATACATAATTTATTTGAAAGATAGCAGAAAATTATAGAAAGTAAAAGGAATATAAATAAAAATTGATGGAAATTTTTGCATCAACCTACTACAGATCTAAACTAGTAAACTTTATTTAATAAATTTTATCATTTCATTTCTGATATTGGCAATTACTCATCTCAGAAACGAAATAGTAAATTATAAAAAGTGGTATGAACCTGCCACCATAACGAAAGACCAAACCCATCTGACATTAAATGTAATAAAAAAAAAAAAACCCAAAAAACAGCAACATGGAAGAGGAGGAAGAGGAGGAGGAAAAAGAAGAAAACATCATTAATGTCCTTTGGGAAGGTGGCATAGTGGATTTAGGAGTTGGTTATTGTGTTACTGTCATCTAGTGGTCACAAGTTCAATCCTTGGCTCTGGTAGTAATGCACTAATTCAACAGGAACAAACAATAATAGGGACAAAGCTATCATAAGATATACCATATCAATTCCAATTGACACCTGATGATGACTCATAATATATCAGTGCAGATTAGAATAGTTTGAAATAATACAAGAATAGATGTATACTTATTCATAAATATACAGTAGTTAACTAAGGAATGTATGCAGATTTTATAAAGCTGCATTTCCATAAGATCCTTTCTTTTTTCTCAAGTCAAAATAAAATGATTACATTGTACAATAGAAATTTGTACTGAAATTGAATCACCAAAATAGAAATTATAAAGGAAGCCTAGATGCAATAATAGTTATTAACAATCAAAATAATTATAGTGTGTGTGTGTGTGTGTGTGTGTGTGCCTGCAAAAGTCCTCTTTTTGAAACCATTTTTTTTAATAGAAAATAATAATTATTGAAACATTTGTGCACATCTAATATTGTAATGGGTATTAAAAGGAGATAGATATTTGGGTTATAAGCTGTTTGCTTAAATTGAAGTCAAAAATAAGTTTTGTATATATATTTGTGTATATATATATATATATATATATATACACACACACACATACGTGTATATATATATATATATATATATATATATATAAAAAAAAAAAAAAAAACAGGATTAATACGAATAAAAGTTGTCATTTAAATGATTGATGTTATATTCAGCACTTCTATTCCAGAGTTTCATAGACAAATGTTTATACAGTCATTTGGTTCACTAAAAAAACATTCAGTTTTTATGTAAAAAATTATCCATAATCTCAATTGTTAATGCCCAATAAAGTAATCTTTTTGTGTGTGTGCATATGTGTGTGTGTATATATATATATATATATATATATATATATATATATACACACAGGTAAAAATCTGTGGGTAAGCAATCCAAGTGAATCCTATTAATATAAAATATTAAAACTGATTCACAAAAGAGAGCTCAATATATTTATTATAGAGCATAGAAATGAGTTACATAAAAATGAAACTCAATTGTACCCTATTTTTATGGCCATTTTGCTCCTTGGGATAAATTCCCTGGAGCTTGTCAATACTAAAATGTTTGATGAAAAAATGAATCAAACCATTTTTGTTTTTTTAAAAAAATTTAAAATTACGAAAAGGATAGGAAGAAAGAAGAAAAAAAGCTCTAGGTAATTTATCCCAAGGAGCGAAATGGCCATAAGAGTGGGTTATAATTGAATTTCATTTTTATCTAATTCATATATATATATATATACATGTATGTGTACACACACACACACAATTAATGCTTTTATATATTATGAAAGCATGGTGGAATAACTGAGATTGAGGAATCAGAGAGCTGAGTCTGAATTCCAATCAAGTTCATTACACATTACCTTTACTTATGGGCAAATACCCTTGGGAAAGGTATGAATCTCTTTTTTTCTCCCTCCAGCTATAGGTAAATAGCATAACATATCAGGTCCTATAGCATTGGGTGGCAACAGATCTATGAGGGTCATTTGAGGAGCTTGTGGCACACTATGTGCACTAGTTCTCTGTATTTTGGCTCTTTCAAAAAGTGTGGTTGTTTTTGCAGAAGCCTTCACTATTCTAATCAAATCAGATGTATGAGTAATCTGGCTGTTAGGAACCGAGTTTCTGTACTCTCATATGTTGAAAACGACGGGTGAGTCCAGTATATGACCACCTGACAGAAAAAGGCCATCTCTTCAATTTCAGAAACTGCGTGAAAGTAAATAACTCAAGAGGCCTGTTTCATTTTTGCAGGCTTCCCTGTATGAAAAACTTGTGTATGTTTACCTAGTCTTCATGCACTCTTATAGGACTCTTCAGACCTGATACAGACCCACATACTTTGTCACAAAACTAATTTCTTATAAATTGCTCTCAATATAGTCTGCTGAAGACTGCTTACCATTATGAGATATATCAGTAAAATGATTTGGAGCCCTCTGACTGACTGGCGTTTGTTTACATTTGTAAAAAACAATTCGCTAGAATTAGCTGTTTCTCTCTGCCGAGTGATGATAGCTTAGTGGTAGAAATCTGACTGACACCATATCAGTTGGGTTTTGGTCCTGGCTTGAGACATTTGGATGTCTAGTTGCACTGAGGAGCTGTGATACAGCGAAACAGTACTGTTTGTGAATGACACACACATACATATATCTACTTTTTAAGGTATGTTATATTTATGGGAGAAAACTGCTCAATATCAAAGACAGCATATATAAATTGTGTGAACATAGGTATTAATACTAGATGGTAACAATTTGTGTCATGCTTAAACACAATTGTCAGATCAGTGTGTGTGTGTGTGTGTGTAAGTATACTGATATGTCCCGGAAAGGGATATATTTTTTAGAAGTAGCAAAGTGGTTCTTGACTACTGTAACCAGGTAGGACAATCTAGCAGGTAACTATAATGGACTGGTCCTTGTTGTAGTGGTAGGCAATAGGTGTAGTCATGTACCTCCACATCAGTCTGTATTTATGGCTGACACCAGCCAATCATATCACTGTGAGGGGGAACCCAGGTGTATGCATATTCATTACATCATATACAAAATAAATGGTACAACTGAGTTTCATGCATTTGGCACAATCAAGTACTGTTTTATTACCACCAGTACCCACACTGTGTGTTATTTTATTTATTTTATATATATATATATATATATATATATATATATATATATATATATATATATATGCGCACAAATACCGGGTTTTATTGAAAAGTTGAGGGAACAAAGAAAAACAGAAATGGGAAAAAAATAAGTTTATTTCCTGGTAAAGTGATTTCAATAGATGTGTGAAGTGTTTATGAGACCTGGGAAACTCTTGGTGACTTACCAGATAAACAAACTGATCAATTTGTTGAAACTCTCTGAACATTTAGGTACCATCGTGCGCTCTCTCTCTCTCTCTCTCACACATATTTGTATGTACTTTTTCATATATAAAACGGCTCTTGCAAGCAGTCCTGTTCTGCATTGCAGACACAAGGAGAGACATCATCATTCTGCAGAGAATAAGCGATGAACTTCAAAATGGATTCACTGAAGAGAAAAGTTTAGGAACAATTTCAGATCAGAAAAAAATACCCCTGAAAACACTGTCAATCATAGAACATAATGATTCACAGTTGCTGACCTATGGAATCACTTTTTCTGACAGCTGCCTAAAGCCTAGTGACTGCCACTTCAGGTGAATCCTTAAATACCTGCTAAACTCATGCATATTCCTCAGATGATAGAATAAGAATACCACTCATTCATACACTCATTTTATATTGCAAATGGCTGCCAGCATGCCAGGCACTGTGTTTGTTATACTTCAGGTAAGCAAGTTGGAAACTTATCACATATAAAACAATGTAGAATTAAGTTTACACTCAATGATAAAAATAAACAGCTCTTGAATTATTCTAAAACTTACAAAATGGAAAACTTTTACCTTTGGAAAGGAACATCTGTAGTCAAAAAGTTGGTTTCAAAAACCATTAAAAATGATATTCTTCACTGTATGATCTATGAATTTTCTCAAGACCAAAGTTGATTTAACTATCTTCAGCATTAGTTGGAAATTAAAAAGCAAGCAAATGAAGGTAATGCTTTTAAGTTTAAAAAAAAAAAAAAGTAGATGTTTTTTTTTTTGTTTATTACCGAGTGTAAACTTTCATTAATTCTCGTTTTTTTTCCTTTAATCTTATTAAATAATAAAAAACAACAAAAACACATGAACAAATATGACAAAATAAAATTGTCCAATGAAGAAATGTCAGCAATTTTACTAATATAAATGATTCCTAACAACATTATTATTATTATTTACAAATTCTGGAAATATTTAATACTTGATTCCGTTGATTATTTTGATTTCAGGTCCAATTTCAGTTTTGTACTGATCTGTTTACGAATTTCAAACATAATGATTCCTGCAGCCACAACAGAATTAAGACTCTCAACACCATGAGCCAAGGGTATATAAACTAAATGTCCATAGTGACTAAATGCCAACTTTTTAGCTTCTGTACTCAAGCCATGAGCTTCACTACCAATAATCAGGACAATCTCACCATGAGCAAAAGAAAACTGTTCATAAGGCTCTGATGGAATAGGTGCATTAGTGTACAAATATTCAGCCTTCAAATTTTCTTCAAAATTCTCAGATGTTTCTTTTGTTGTTTCGTCAATACTTTCATCAGTATTTAAAGATTTTTCAGAGTGATCCAGAAGATAATCCAGTTCCTCAAAGCTCAAGGAATTTGCTTTTGAACTTTTTAATTGGTCACTGAACGATGCTGATGCCAGTAAAAGTTGGGCATCTGAAGAAATATAATTTGGGATTTGAGACCAAGGAATACTATTAAAGATAGGTATACGAAAGTGGCTGCCACAGCCTGACCGGAGAACTTTTGGCTCCCAAACATCAACACTACCTGCAAAAAGAATAAAAAGTGTTATTTGGTTGGAAAATATGTATGAGTAGATACAGGTTTCATTAAAAATGACTGACAAGGTATCTCTTTTTTTTATTGTATTTTTCTTGTATGCAAATAAGATCTTTCTGTTTTAGATTGATTAAATGTAGAAATTGTACAAATAATTGTTCATTCTGAGCAGATTCTGCTCACTGATTAGCTATTAGCAAGAATTTAAGTTGTGCTATTGTAAACAATGTATAAATTGCTGAAAAGTAGACATGTTTTAGTTCCCAAATATAACCAGTACATCGTGACTGTGTTTGTACTTGATGTTGTTAAGTGTTGTTTTTTTTTGTTTTTGTTTTTTTATGATAAGGGTTTCCATTATTTTTAGATAATAAAAGTGGACATTGAGGTCAACACACAGTTGCAACAGTCTGTTTCCTGCTTCAACACAATCTTCAGGTCATATATATTGTGTTTTTATCTCAACTATTTATATATGCTGCATTAGATAGAAGGTCTTTTGCATTATCCTAATGGTTATTGGGAGTGTAGTAACAGTCATGTTTCAAATTATTCTAAAGGGCATTGAGTAGAATTAATTTTATACTCATTATTTATTACAGATTACTTTATTATTTTTTTGTTGATTATTATTATTATTATTATTACATTTACTTGTGCTTATGTGTGCATTTATAATTTGTCAATTACTTAATTTTTTTATTTATTTATTGATTTAGATTTTTTGTTTATTTTACTTACTTATTTTTTATTCCTTTCTTCTTTTTGGTTTGGTTTATTCTCTGTCTATATATTTGATAGGCGCTCAAAGCCTGAGAGAACACCTGTTCATTGTGATAGGTGAAAATTCAGGGTCCACTCTTTGATGATAGAACATCACTAGTTTAGGTCTTTTGTAAAGTAGGTTTTTTTTCGTGGGGAAGTGCTGTTACTTAACTACAAGGTAGATAGATTTTAATTTTTTGTGACAGATAAACCTTAGATGATATTTTTACTATGTGCAAGGGTGATATATCGAAAGATTAGATTTTTATTGCTTTTTCATCTTTAATATAACTGAAGTGCATTTGGTGATGACAAAATAAATCAACAGTATTTTTGTTGTGCTTTAAATTGTGTTTATTATATGTATGTTGCTATGATTATAAAAATAATTTCATTTGTTTATTAACAACAGGATTAGGAAAGTCATTATTATGAAGTGTTAGGTCAGTAAAGTTTCTATCCCAAAATTAACAATGTTTGTATAGATAGATGAAATTAGCATTATTTTTCTTTACAAACTTGTATATATCGGCAATAACACACACACAAGTTCAAAAAAAAGAACATGGATGTAGATGAGAATTATTAGGCCCGACTGACCCTTACTTACCCACAGTCGTCAGGATTCTTGTACAGCCAACGGCAGCAGCAGTTCGAATGAGAGAACCCATGTTACCTGAATCCTGAATATTGTCACAGATCAAAGTCAGTGGAATTGTTTGGGTCTGTGGAATAACAGCTTCTCCCATTGCAGGCATTTGGAAAATAGCTAAAAAAAAAAAAAAAAAAAAAAAAAAACATTCAGTCAGTGATTGAAATTCTTTATATTTTTGTTCTGCCCCAAGTCTCTGAAGTGAATTTTATCTGAATCTTTATAATTTTTATTTAAAAGAGAAATGGATGTATATTACTAAGATAATTATAACAGAAATGAATTGCTAAAAATTTCTATGGAAATTAAATGGTAATTTGTTAGAGAAATGCATTGTGGGTGATTTAATGTAGACATAAGTTTCTGTGTAAAATAAATGGAAAATGTATGTAACAGTCACATGAATTTTGAAGTTTTGAAATTTACATATACAAACTACAGGAATAATTTACATGAGTTGTTGCCTCTATAAAAAAAAAAAAAAATTGTTTCTGGGAAGTCTTAAATGAATTTCTTCTTATTTTCAAATAAATGCATCCAAATCTATTAATGATTATTTTGCAAAGCTACATAGTGAGATGGATAATAAAAAAAAAACAATGATTATAATTTTACTTTGGGAGACAAAAACCATCTTTGATTTAGGCTGGTTGATTTTATGACTTGTCAACCTTTAATGTCAAAGTCAGGATGTTTTTGTCATAATCTAGAACTAAATAAATGTCTTATAGGACAATAACTATAATGATTTAATAGTTTTAATGTTAACCTTTGCTATATTAAATACCATCAAGAACATTCCAGAAAATTTTTAATGTTCTATATAATTAAAATTTAATTTAAAGTTAAAGTAGAATATACACAAGTAACATTTATAAAAATTTAAGAATTATTTTCGGCAAATGAAAATGGCATCTGTAAAATATATACTTGCTAAAAAAGGGGAATATATTATAATAATGATGTCATGGCAAATTTTCTTTTAAAGCAAAAGAGAAACAGATCACAATTTAAGTAAACTGATATCAACTTGCTAACAATGATTTACTCCTTTTGACAAGCTTTTTAACTGAATGATTTTATGGACTACAATAGAACATAAGGAGTTATTATGTTGGTTTCAAACAAATAGGAATGACTGTAAAACACTTTCCCTTCCCCATTTGATAGGCAGAAGTACACAAAAAATTAGAAATTATTTTACATACAATTCTAGGCATCTTGTTATTTAGTTACAGGAATATCCTGCAATTTTGTTTTGTCCTTTTCAGAACTGATTTTTGACAAGTATTTGCTTTACTAATTCATGATAATTTATGCTTTAAATATTTTGATAAAAAGAGCTTACCCATAATTCCTGGTGGCGTTGACACATCTGACCACAGCTGCATATGTTTATACTTGACTTTGTAAACAGGAATTTGACTGGATGGGTCCAAGGGCAATTTGTTTGGGTCAAATCTACTGGTGAAGTAAATAGAACGGCACTTAGCACCAGCTAAGAGGGCATCAGAGATGAGGCGTTCACCTTCCAGCAAGATCTGTTGATTCTTTTGGCGTAACTTCTTTGACTTTGCATTGTTCACTAAAGTTCTGAGGAGAGAAAAAAAATTTCAAACATTTACTTTTTTCTAAGTTGATCAAATAGAAAATAAAAATCAAGTTTTTCAATATTAATTTGTTTTTACAGATCGCAACAGATATTAGAGAGATGTGATTAAAAATACCTTAATGTTTAAAAAAATTTATTCAGTATTATTATTGTTTAAGTATTATAACATAGCACAAATAGCTATATTGTGGAAAAAGGAATTTTCAACAATATATGCATTTTTTACGTATTTATGGTATATTTTTTAACTTTTATTTTTATCAAAAATGATATTCTTGTACAATACATGTAGTTATGGATAATATACATTAATTACTAATTTTTTTTAATTAATAACTATTTGTGCTCAGTTGTTGACATTAAGAGCTATCTGCTGATGTATTAAAATTTTGGAATAATGAAATAACAAAAATTTAAATTTCATCTCTGATAGATGATGTTAATGAAAAATAATGATCTTCTCATTAACAAGAAAACTTGATTTGAACATATTCTTTTTAGAAAGCGGGGAATTTTGACAATGTATAATATATGGGTTTCCCAAACATCTTGATGCCATGGAGTCCTTGAACAGGATAAAGTTTTCTTGGAGCCTAAACAATTTGATTTTAAAAATACATGTGAAAAAAGAAAATATATTTTTAACACTATTTACAAAAAAATAAAGTCAAACTTAATGACTAAAGTGTAGGTGTTGCGTAAAGCTTGCCAAAGTCATGCATGATTCCTGTAACTTGTGGCGTCAAATCATTCCCTTCCTATAGCCTACTTCTATACTTTGGTTTTAGAGATGCATTGAAAACCAAGGTGATACTGGACTGATTGCATCAAAGATTGGAGAGGAAGAACACTGACAGATTGCATGGTTTTGGCAAGAGCAAAGAGAGAGTGGTGAGCATGGTCCCTTACCCTTAGAAATGAGGATGAGAGGAAGCCTATAATGAAAATACATTTTTATAAAGTTGTTGGAAATCTTATAAAAAAATTAAAAAATAAAACGATTAAACAAATAAAAGCTTGCATAGCTACTGGACCTTATTCACATAAAAAACACACTTGGTGAATTTTTGGAGTAATAGTTAACAGGCTGGTCTCATCATTATTAATGAGAAATAAATTCGATTCCCACTGTGTACAATGCTTATGGCATTGTGTATTCTTTGGAAAGGAATGAAAAGACAAAAAACGGAATTAATAAAAAGAGTGGTGATATTGTTTTGGAGTTGACAATAACAACTGCTTACCTCCCTTGGTAGAGAAAACAATCACATATTATCAGTAATTATTGAACTCATTGTAAAAAGGATCTCATTCTAAATGAGGGTAGTTAAGGATTTCTGAGGGAAATTTATTTCTATTCACTAAACTCATCATATAAACTTTATATATATTTATTAGTTTGATACACAAGTTCCCTGAAAATTTCTTCCTTTACTAGTTAGAATGGCACAAATTAAATTGACTTGTCCCACTCATAAAAAGAGGGTAAGAATTTTTCTTTTTAAACAGTTTTTGTAGATTAGCATTCAGTAGACTTCTCCAGGTCACAGCATTTTCCAGAATCGAAAAATATTGATTTTTTCTTTTATCATTTTAAAAGGGGAGGAGGTGTCCTGTTCTTAATATAGTGCCAAAATCAATTTGCCTTAAAGAGTTATCTGTACTTTGATTTTTATTTGCATATGTCAAGTTTGAAACTGTGGTTACATCATTGATAAATACATACTTTTACAAATTGTGGAAAATGACATCATTAGTACACTACACATCTGTCAATGACGTAGGCAAAGTTTCACATTTGTAAATAAAAACTAAATTCAGATATATAACTCATTAAGAAGTCAGGGATCAATTTGACATTGTATGAACATGAATCCCTCCTAACATGAAAATTAACGTTTTTCGATTCTGACAAATGCCGTGACTATGTTTGAATCTAATGAATGCTAATCTAAAAAAAAAAAAAATATATCATCCTCATCTCCCCCACTTTTTTTTTAACAAACAGACCAGTAATTTGTTTCTAGTAAAGATTAAAAAGCAGTATTTGCATACTAAAAAAAACTTTCCCTGTTTGCTTCCAAATAAAAAATCCAATTGTTTAATGATAAACTAAAAAAAAAAAAAAAAAAAAAACCTTAACAATCCTAAGCTTGTTTCTTTGATTCTACATTTTCTTTATGTTAATATATTTTTAACTTTAAGGAGTCAAATCACCGATAAATTCTTATAACAAGAGTTAAAAAAAAAAGACCAAAAAACGAGTTAATGCCAGTTGCAACTTAAGTAAATTGTTCAAGTTAACATTCTTCTTATTATTTCTTCCGTTTTCTTGATTCTAAAAAAAAATGGCTTGGTATCTTTTTTGTTGATTATATCAAGATAATCTATAATGAAATTAAAGACGAGTGTAAATCTTATTAAAAGCCTCTACTACGAGAAAATGAGAGAGATTTTATAATTTCCTAGGCAATAAAACTACATGTTGCTAAGATTCGAGATGGCAGAGTTACTTCCCTTCGAATAAAATAAAACTTTTATCAGGCGTAAATTTTTAGACTACGTAATTTTTAATGAAGAAGAAAAACAAATTTTGCTTTTAACTGAACAGAACCACAAAATACTTCCCTAAATTGTAATCCTAATCAGATCTGATGCATTGCAACCAATTTCGTAAAATATTCACTGAAAAATCGTTTTGACATTGAAAAACAAAATAAAGGTCAAGCAAGTGTAAAAACACAAAATTTGGTTAATTGTTTTTGTTTGTTTCATGCATTTTTTTTCATCTTTAAATTTTGTTCATTGAATGAAGCAACTAGTAATAGATATACAAATTTTGGATCGACTTAAAAAAAATATATCAGAATATACTGTACATAGCTGAAATAAATGTATGCCTTTAAAGACCAAAAAGTTTGGGGCCTTTTTTCATCAGGATATGACACTTTTTTAGCGAAAATGGTAAATTTTTATTTTAACACCCGAGCCCTAATATCCCTTCAAATTTTTCCAAAATAGTCTTAGTTCCGTGCAAATGTATATGCTGAACTCAAATCAACAATTAGATATTGAAGAAACCTACCTTTTTGGATGTTAACGACCCGAAAAAAATCAGACTTTATCCTGGTCATTCGTTAGCCATTACCAGCTTATTGATAAGTAATTCAGTACTGAATTTTGTTGGTGGACGTATGCAATTTGGGCCTATTTACTTCCTTCACAGTAATTCCTTGTAGAAATTAGTACGCGCTTCCGTAAAGCGATTTTTTTTGTACTTAAGAAAGTTAACTTTCAAATTAGGGTTACGTGTTTTTTTTTCTCTTTTGTTATTCTTTTATTTGTCGATGTTTACATATATAAAGTTAACTTTCTTCTTAAATTAAGTACAAAAAAATCGCTTTACGGAAGCGCGTACTAATTTCTGAAAGAAAATAATTCAGCAGTGAATGACGCTCGGGTGTTAAAATGAAAATTTACCGTGGACATACCTAAGTCCACTTTAACTGGTCCAAAATAGATGATTGTAAATTATTTATTAGAGACGTAAAAAATGTATTAATTTTTAATCCAAATTAATACTTTTTGTATTGCTTTACTTTTTGTCTAATGATATTGCTTCTAATTTTTTAGTGGAACGGGAAGGAAAGAACCTAACATTTTAATTAAAACTACTTTTCGGACAGGATACAACTATACTATCTGAAACCGAAAAAAAAAAATGCGCAAAGGAAAATGTTGAAAAATAGGGAAAACATTTAATTGGTAATTAATTTTTTTGTAGTAACTTGTTGTTATGAATGGAAGTTGGTAGTTAATGATAAAAAAAAAAAGAGAAACCATTGTTGTACATAGGAACTGCTTCGTAACACCACTAAGTGAAAAAAGAAAAAAATGATTATGATTAAATAAAAGATAATTTATCTTTTTTTAATGCCATGTACTGTGAGACAGGCGATCCATGAGTTTCCACAAATTTTCCTTTTAACTTTATTATCTGGGAATTGCCATTTCTTGGGAAAGAGTGTGAAGTTTCCCGTTGCCTTCTCTCTACGTTTCAATTCAGTTTTTCTTCTTTTAGAGACTCACTACTATCTTGTTAGTTAACCCATAACGGCGGAGAAGAAATGGATTCATGCCTTTCCCAAGAAGAGTATTTGCGCGAAAGTGAACGCCGATTCCACTTTTTGTTTCCTCATTTACAGCCAGGACCCTACGGTGTATAAATTTAACTTACAAAATAATGGTCCCTGGTCCTCTCTTAATTTTTTTAAACTTCGGGAGCTGAAGCAAAAATAAATAAACCGCCAAAGTAGGAACATACCCAAATCTTTTATCCCCTTCCTGAAGCTTCTCATATTTTAAAAGTTGTGTTTCGGCTTTTGTTTGTTTTGAAAAATTTATATTTTTATCATTTTTGATCTTCGTTTTCTTTTGAGATGCTCCATGATCTGCTATGTCGATGTGAGATTCTGTATTCGGTCCATCATCAACAATGTATCCTTGTTTTTTTAACAGTAGTTTCTCTTGTTCTTCCGGGGTGATTATTCTTACAGATCGCCGGAAAACATCACTGCGTGCTGTCCGAACTGGACACTTGATAAAACCGTGTACAACAAAAGAAAGAGAAGTTGGCCATGCTTTCCACAAGGAAGCTGCCATATTGTTTTCGACCTCTTGTTGCAAATTGACCAATCATAGTGAGGTTTCCAATAAGCTGATCAGAGTTAATTCCCCTGAATAGGATATCGGGGACAGTATTTTTTTTTCTTCAAATCAATGAGTTAAAGAGAAAAGTCAGCTTATAGAATGTTTACAACGAAGAAAAAAATAGAAGATTTTGGAACAATTTCGTAAAACAAGCGGTTGATAGTGCTTATTCTTGCAAATCATTGTAAAATCAACCTAGATGGGATGAAAGGAAATGGGGTGCTTGTGCTCTGTGGTAGAATTAATGTAACTTTTTTTCATGAGGTAGTATAAAAGATCTACTTTTCTGCTGCTGTTACGAGTCTGTAAGAAAGGATATCATTTAGGAATCTTTTAGAGTCATATCCCTTAAGAATTATCAAAATATGAATTATTTATAAGTGCTACAAATCCCAAATAGTTAAGCTTTTTATAAGGCTTTTAAAAACATGAAGTTTAATAGTCTTTGAAATTGCTAGCTATGTCATGAGTACTACTGGTACCTTGTAATCCAATACTAGTTGTCGCATAGTTGGGTCATCAGTGACTAAACCTGGTGTGTAGGATGGGTAAACATTCAGCAGGATTAAAAACAAGACCTGTCAAAAAGTGGATGAACCATTTTGTAGAGTTAATGTCCATCGAGAACAACAGGGTAGAAAGGGTTCTTTTGCTATATATGCAGTCAATACAGAGATGAGATGGATCATTAGGCAGAGGACTTCTTAGATTGAAATTAATGGAAAGAGCAGAAGGTTTCCCTGATAGAATTACTGACTACATCTCTATGACCAAAGTGAGCATACATCTTGGAAGACATCAGCTGTAACTTGACTTAGAGATGAGCTTATTCAGGTGTACTTGGCCAAGACATACTACACATGAATGAATACCTTTCTGGCTTTCAACCCAAGTATGGGAAGAGATCTGGTCAGATACTCAGCTGTGCAGTAACACCCAGTCATGATGATGATGATGATGATGAGTAACATAAAAAATTCATTTTCATAGTAAAAGTGGAAATCTTGTACAATATTTGCTAAACTGTCAGTAAAAATAGAAAAGGTAATGAAGGTTTAGAGTATCATCCCTAAAAATAAATTAAAAAAAAAATTTGCTTATAGATTTCTGGTGATATATAGTTTGACTTTCTTTTCTAATTTGGAGTATGTTAAGGCTTGTGACCTGGAGCTGAAGATAGTGTCATGTGGTGACACCATTGACCACCAGAACAGGAGGTAAAGCTCATGCAGAGACAGGATGTATGAAGGAGCAGATTTCAGACAACCCCTTGTATGTGCTAGAGACCTTTAATTGATACTTCTGCTTTTGTTGGCAATTCCAAATGGGTCTCTACCAAACTCATCTTTTTCACAAGCTGTTTTTGCAATGAGGATACCAAGAGCTTCTCAAACAAGGTCTATTTTTATTGAAAAAGACACAAAAGGAATTCAACAGAATGGTAAACTTCCCCACATTTCAACCACTCACAGTGTGCAACTTTTAAGACACCACAGACATTACATATAGCATATATAAAGAGTAGATAGAAAATGTTGAAAAAAAAACAAAACAAACTATAATACATATACAAGGGCTTGTTTTGGTCATGTAGTGATCAGGATGTGAGTCAGAAATCAATGCTTCTGTAGCTTGTGGAAAAATGAAATAAAATCGATATACTGGTATACCTTACCCTACGTCATTAATTGGTTCCAGAGGTCATGACTTAGGTCAAAAAATGACTTGTCAAAATAACCACAATATAAACTGCAAATAAGCACTCCCCATTGCCTATTACAGTATTTATGATATGTAATCTGCCTCAGTCATGTATCGGATGATACATGATCACCTAAGTGTGTATCATGTATGGCACATAACTGATTGATGTACAGTATTCTGAATAAAATAATTAAAAATAATTAAGTAAAAAACAATTTTAAATTTAGCTGATGTGTGACATTGATGTTGCACATTGGGACTGTTGTAGGAGGATGTTACATTGTTATATTTTAAAAAAACTGACGTGTCTCTGAAAATGACTTAACTCAAAACAACTTAAGCCAAGATATCACTATATAAAATAATAATAATGAATAATAAAAAAATGAAAAAGAAATATATTTTCCCATGATGCTAAGAGTAAGGGAACTATAAATATGATTACTCTATTTAGTTTTGTAAGATGTTGTTAGGTGGTGCTGTTGAAGGCCATAAAAAGGTAAACAATTTCTTGCCTCATGCTATTTCTTCTTTTTGTTCTAAGATGCAGAACCACATGGTAATTACATTCCCACTGGGGAATGTTAGCTTCCCCTGTCCACTTTACTCTTTTCTTTCTACTTTCCAGCTACAGTGTATGGACATGTTTTGGCAGACCTACTCATGAAATAAGTGAATTGGTAGTTCCATCACAGTGCAAAACTGATTTGAGCTTGAGCATTTGAACCATTGTTATCCTAACTTCTAAACCAAAAAAGAAAATGGATATACCCAAGGGACACTGAGAACTTTGTTTCATTACAGTCAGCATAAAAAGAATAAACTTCCATAGCAGAAACTCAAGGTTTATTTATCTTACATGAACATGCACACACCTAAGATACACACACACACACAAACTTCTATAAGCTAAAAGATAAATTATTAAAATATATTTCTGTACAGCTGGATAACACAGAGCTTCTGTTTGGAAAAAATAATTAAAATCACTTCCTACTAAAACTCAAATCCCTTTGTTATGATCCTCCTCAAGCATTTAGAAAGGAAGAGAATTTCTTCTAAAGTGAGAAAATGTTCTCACCTACTAACAAGCTCATGTACAACTTCTGAGACCAACCTTAGGACTATACTGACTTTTAACCTGACTTAATTATACTCATTTTGTTTCCATTTCAATGAACATTTAGAACATAATAAAGCCCACACACAGTGACTTTAAAACTTTTCACATTCACTATATTATATTACAAAGACATTAACACATTTTTTTTCACGTAACCATTGTTAGAAGGTCTCACATAATTGTCTCCCCTTGACTGGAAATTAATAAATTGTCTGCCCTTGACATAAGTGACTGGTAAAATCCTGTGTACCTTTTATTTTAGTTCGATACAGCCTACAAAAAGGTATATTTATTGCTAATTTATTATAAACATAATGTGTTATAATCCATACATTTATGGAAAAGAAAAATGTTGTATCTACATGAATAAACCTTTTTATAATACATCAAGTTTTTATGGGATTTTTAACAACTTCTACATCAGTTGGGTAGATGACAAAGAAGAGACAATTGAATAGTTTAAAAAATATTTTATATACAAGATATAAATCAAAACATGAAATGAGAGAATTGTTAAAAAACGTACTTTTAGCAGGTAAAGCCAAACAATAGGGTCAATTCCAATAAATTTCAGTTAGAAATAGTTTGATACACTTGTAGCATCCTGCTACCACTTCTTATCAATGTTGAATTTTGTACATTTTTGTGCAAAAAGTGGATCAGAGAGCCTACTTAGCTTAGTAAATATTTTTAGGGAATATCAGCTTCTAATTGGTCAATAAACTCACAAATGGGCATTGCAATCCATCCACGTACAAATATTTTTCCAGTGCATGACCAAGTCAAGTTTTCCCACCATTTTCTGTGAGCCTGTCACATGATTACATCAATTATAAATAGCAGACACAAGCTTGCTGCTTTCTCTTCTTCTCTTCTCTTCCCTTTTCCTGCGAAGATGTGACCTTAAGGATTCTCGTCTAGACCGTGGCCGGTCAGACGTTAAAAGCATATTCACGCATGCACGTACCTACGAAATTTTCCAAACTACATTACAAACATACAAAACATTTCAAAACATGCAACCAGAACTTTTCTCTTTGAAATATTCTTCTAAAGCTACAGTTTATTCAGCATTCCTCAGCTTTATAATTAATTCAACTTTTGTGAGTTCAGATAAAAATATTTCACAGTCTAAGGGACATAACACCAACAAAACTTTAACTTCTACGCATGTACATCAACATACAAATAAATACAAATGTTATTGTTTTAAAACCATTTTGTTCCTTCTTGTATTTCATGTTTTATGGTATTTTATGTTAAATATAAATTGTCTGGTCATATTATTCATGCAGCCATAAACAGACCTCTACAAATAATCCAATCTTATTAACATACCACTGCACACTTATCTGTCATTTAAACAAAGGTTGTTTGTCTTGGGGCCATCTGGAATGTTCAAACACATATCTTCTTTTGAGAGGTGGGTCTTCACATTTGTAACTGGTTTTCACCAGAGTCAACTAAAGGCATCTGTCTCTTTTGAGATATTGGGTTGCACTAAATATAGTGTTTGTAATTATGCACCAAATCTTATCTGGCATGAAAATTAGGTTATACCATTAAAAGTAGATAATCTCTCCTTATTCCATTTCTCCCCTTTGGTGGCAGAGGTAGAGATGGTTGTGGAGGCCCAGCCTACTTCTGAAGAGTCATGAGCAGGAGTCACAGAGGAGTGTGGGTGATTGTTGTGGTTGGGTGAGTCGAGTCCTCCTGACAGCATGTTGAAGATCCTCTTTAAGTTGGCAGTTGGACTTGAAAGTCTCAGTCCCCTCCTGGATAGTCATATGCCAGGAAGGTCGATTTGCAATATTTATATTAATATTATATATAATATTATAAATATCATGCAATGTTATATTAATAGTCAGACAGAATTTAAAATGGAATATTGTCAGAAAATTCAATGGTAAGATTTTTTTACAGTGATGTTCACCATGTACAAGACCCAAGTGCCACTCAAGGTAGAGGGTTACAGAGTAAGAGACACAGTTTATGCAGATATGGAGAGAAGATAACAGTTGATTCTAGACTTGGACAGATAAAGATTGTAGGTATTGAGGAAGCATCCTTTTGGTAGTCAGTTTTACAAAGCAGCAGTTCATGAGAAGAAGCTGCTCAAGTG